CTGAGCCTGGGAAAATCTTTTGTTGAGAGGTGTTAAGATGTGCCTGGTTGTTTCCTCTCTGCTGTTATGCTGTTGTAATTTTAGAGTTTTTTAATACTGGTAGCCAGATTTTGTTCATTTTCATGGTCTCTTCCTTTCTGTTGAAATTGTCCACATGCTTGTGGATTTCAATGGCTTCTCTGTGTAGTCTGACATGGTGGTTGTTGGTGTGGTCCAGCATTTCTGTTCTCAAATAATATGCTGTGTCCAGGTTGGTTCATCAGGTGCTCTGCTATGGCTGACTTCTCTGGTTGAAGTAGTCTGCAGTGCCTTTCATGTTCCTTGATTGTGTTTGGGCCACGTTTGGTGGTCCCTATGTAGACTTGTCCACAGCTGCATGTATACGGTAGACTCCTGCAAAGTGAGAGGATCCCTCTTGTCCTTTGCTGAATGTAGCATTTGTTGGATTTTCTTGGTGGGTTTGTAGATGGTTTGTATGTTGTGTTTTCTCATCAGCTTCCCTCTGCGGTCAGTGGTTCCCTTGATGTATGGCAGGAACACTTTTCCTCTGGGTGGATCTTTCTTACTCGTGGCTTGTTCTTGGTCTTTTTTTTTTTACTCTCTCAAAACAATCCTCCCAAAAGGTTCTTGTGGTTTTTTCGGGCTATGGCCATGTTCTAGAGGCATTTCTCCTGACGTTCCTGCATCTATGGCAAGCATCCTCCGAGGTAGGGAGGCAACTATGAGAATGCTTGCCATAGACTGATGGGCATTGAGAACATCTCTGAAAGATGCTTGCCCTCTGAGGATGCTTGCCATAGATGCAGGCGAAACATCAGGAGAAATGCCTCTAGAACATGGCTCTATAGCCCAAAAAAACCCCACAAGAACCTAGTGATTCCAGCCATGAAAGCCTTCGACAATACATTAAATCCTCCCAAATCCCGTTGTTTAACTTTTACTTCCTTTCACTGAGGCGATGTGATTGTTGCCTGAGAATTTTGGAATAGAGCCTGTTCAGTTGAGAGAAGGAGGAGGAAAATCTCCTTCGAGGGAGGGCCCAGCATTCCCTGACTCCGAAACCAATAAATAAAGGGATCTGTAATTGGTTAAATGGACGAACCCAGAGAGTGATTCTCCCCAATGCTTCCTCTTCATCTTGGAAAGAAGTGACGAGTGGAGTGCCATCCACAGCGTTCCGTCCTGGGCCCGGTCCTGTTCAACATCTTTATTAATTAATTTATTTATTTATTTATTTATTTACTTTACTTGTATACCGCAGTTTCTCAGCCCAACAGGCGACTCAACGCGGTTTACAACAAGGATAAGAATCAATCAACGATATACAATTTAAAACCATAAAAGCATAATATACAATATTGACACAACAATAGACAACACAATGCACCTCATAACTAGAGTCGTGATCCAATCCGTCGTCCAAATTTCCATTCCTGTAATCATCACATTCATTGCACTGTTTAACCGAATGCCCGTTCAAACATCCAAGTTTTTAATCTTCTTCGGAACACCATTAGCGAGGGGGCTGATCTTACCTCCATAAGAAGGGCGTTCCACAGCCGGGGGGCCACCACAGAAAAGGCCCTGTCTCTCGTCCCCGCCAGCCGCACCTGTGAAGCAGGCGGGATAGAGAGCAGGGCCTCCCCAGAAGATCTGAGGGTCCTGGCGGGCTGATAGGCAGAGATACGTTCGGATAGGTAACTTGGGCCAGAACCGTTTAGGGCTTTAAAGGCCAACGCCAGCACTTTGAATTGAGCCCGGTAGCAGATCGGCAGCCAGTGGAGCTGGAGCAGCAGAGGAGTGGTATGCTCCCTGCGCTCTGCTCCTGTTAGTATCATGGCTGCCGAGCGTTGGACTAGCTGGAGCTTCCGAGCCGTCTTCAAAGGCAACCCCACGTAGAGACTTAGATTAATGACTTAGATGAAGGGCTAGAAGGCAGGATCATCAAGTTTGCAGATGACACCAAATTGGGAGGGATAACCAATAGGGCTGGGTAACCACGGAAAAATTTGTTTCTAAACTCGATTCGTTTCCAGGGAGTGCTAGCATTTCCAAATTCTAAATACTTCCGAAATTTTGAGATTTCAAAATTTCGTTATTTACGAAATTTCATTAATTTCGAATCAATTCGTTAATGGCGGACGCGATTGCGCAATATGCTAAAAAAACCTCCAAATGGGACAGGGGGAACTTCTGAAGCTTCCCTCTCCCTCTGTTGTTGACTGTTGGTGTGATAAAACAAACAACAACTATAAAACTTGCACCAGACATGCGAAAATAATTACAAAAAAATTACAAAATAATTTCGAAATAATAACAAAATAATTACGAAATAAATTGAAAAAATTGTTTCGAATCTAATTTACTCCTCACACTATTCCTGCATGGCTCAATATCGGATCGTAAGCTAATTTAAATACGAATTAATAACGAATTACGAAATTAACGAACGAAACCGCCCAGCCCTAGGAACCAGCCCTAATGCTCTGGATTCCTAACGCCACCAAATTGGGAGGGATAGCCAATACTCCAGAGGACAGGAGCAGGATTCAAAATGATCTTGACAGATTAGAGAGATGGGCCAAAACTAACAAAATGAAGTTCAACAGTGACAAATACAAGATACTCCACTTTGGCAGGAAAAACGAAATGCAAAGATACAGAATGGGGGACAATGCCTGGCTCGAGAGCAGTACGTGTGAAAAAGATCTTGGAGTCCTCGTGGACAACAAGTTAAACATGAGCCAACAATGTGATGTGGTGGCAAAAAAAGCCAATGGGAGTTTGGCCTGCATCAATAGGAGCATAGTGTCTAGATCTAGGGAAGTCATGCTACCCCTAAGCATTACCCTTCGGAAACCTCTCAGGTGTAAAAAATCTGGCTGTCGCCCCGCCTACCTTCCCCAGAAGGTATATAACACTGAATGAAGCAGCAGTCTTGGTTCCCCGCCGCCGCCAAGCAGCGGACAGAGAGCAAGACATGAACAGTAGCGGGGAGGATGGGCGGGGATGTGCAGATTCCACAGAGGACCATTCGAAGAAACCGGTTAGAGGTAAGCAACCCAGATTTCTTCTTCTTGGTCTCTGTGGAATTTCACATATGGTAGAGTCACAAGCTACTTGCCATGGTTGGTGGGCGTCATGCCATAGCGAAAACAAAACCGCTCTGCCGAAGGCCGCCTGTCGTTTGGACTGAATGTCCAACTTATAGTGGGTGACAAATGTCAATGGCGTAGACCAAATAGCTGCCCGGCAGATGTCCTCCAGGGGCACTCCGTGGCAGAATGCCGTTGAGGTGGCCAGTGCCCTGGTGGAGTGTCCTTTCACAGAAAGAGGCAAGTCTTCCCCTGCCAACTGGTAGGCTAGTTTGATCGTAGCAGTGACCCATTTCGACAGACGTTAGGAAGACGTTAGAATTGGCAACCCCTGAATTTTTAAAAAATATGGAACGCTTCACGAATTTGCGTGTCTGGTTAGACCACACCTGGAATATTGTGTCCAATTCTGGGCACCACAATTGAAGAGAGATATTGACAAGCTGGAATGTGTCCAGAGGGCGACTAAAATGATCAAGGATCTGGAAAACAAGCCCTATGAGGAGCAGCTTAAGGAGCTGGGCATGTTTAGCCTTGAAGAAGAGAAGGCTGAGAGGAAACATGATAGCCATGTATAAATATGTGAGAGGAAGTCATAGGGATGGAGGAGGGAGCAAGCTTGTTTTCTGCTGCCCTGGAGACTAGGACATGGAACAATGGCTTCAAACTACAAGAAAGGAGATTCCATCTGAACATGAGGAAGAACTTCCTGACTGTGAGAGCTGTTCAGCAGTGGAACTCTCTGCCCCGGATTGTGGTGGAGGCTCCTTCTTTGGAAGCTTTTAAACAGAGGCTGGATGGCCATCTGTCAGGGGTGATTTGAATGCAATATTCCTGCATCTTGGCAGGGGGTTGGACTGGATGGCCCATGAGGTCTCTTCCAACTCTTTGATTCTATGATTCTATGTTTTTACCCTCAAAAAAAATCCTACCAAAGTTCAACATCTAATGTTTACTTTCTTTCCTGCAAGGTGACCCAAAAAGGATACAATAGTGAACTGAACAGTAATAATAATACTGTGCATATGCAGGATCATTTGGCCTAGAAATGAGTATATACATAGGCATTTGGTTGCACGGTAGTCCACGCTCTGGTTACATCCCGTTTAGACTACTGCAACGCTCTCTACGTGGGGTTGCCTTTGAAGACAGCTCGGAAGCTCCAACTAGTCCAACGCTCGGCAGCCATGATTTTAACAGGAACGGAGCGCAGGGAGCATACAACCCCCCTGTTGCGCCAACTCCACTGGCTACCGATCTGCTACCGGGCTGAATTCAAAGTGCTGGCGTTGGCCTTTAAAGCCCTAAACGTTTCCGGCCCAAGCTACCTATCTGACCGCATCTCTGCCTATGAACCCACCAGGAGTTTGAGATCTTCCGGGGAGACCCTGCTCTCGATCCCGCCTGCTTCTCAAGCTCGGCTGGCGGGGACGAGAGATAGGGCCTTCTCGGTGGTGGCTCCTGGCTGTGGAACGCCCTTCCTACGGACATTAGACTAGCACCATCTCTAATGGTATTCCGCAAAAAGGTGAAGACCTGGCTGTTTGAGCAGGCGTTCGAATAATGCAATGATTGGTTAATGAACACTGGAATGGAACAATGGATGACGAATCTGGAACATGTTTTTGATGACGAGACGACAGTGAATGGGTATTGTAGTAACTGTTTATTAATTGTGTAATGTGTTAGGTTGTTAACTGTTTCTATACTGTAGCACTGAATTTTTGCTGTTCATATTTGTTGTGAACCGCTGTGAGTCGCCTTCGGGCTGAGAACAGTGGTATATAAGTAAGGTAAATAATAATTTCCGTTTTCTTTCTTGCAAAACTTCTACATAAGCCCAAAGTTGGATGGGACTGAAAATTCAGCCCTTCAGTATCATCCCAGGTGGGAACCAAAGCTGAGATGAGCCCAGAAACCGAGCTGGAAGACAAACAGACAACTTTAACTTTAGTCAATTGAAATGCCAAGCCTACTACAAGTTTCAGTCCAACCTAGGTACAGCACTGGTTGAGATATGTATTACTGGGCTGGAGAATGTTCCTGTGTCCATACAGTAATTTCTTCATAGGTTTTTTATAGGACTATAATTGAGACATATTTATGTGATCAGCTTTCCACCCGTTGCTCCCTCTCCCTCTCAGGGGCTGGAATGATGATGTTGCCAAATCCTCAGCCGTTTCTTCCACTTTGTGATGAAGTAGAACTGACTCAGGTAAGCAGAAGGATTCCTGGGAGAGGAGAACTAGAGCTGCCTGGGGCTCATTTCTTCCAGGCTTAATCATCAAACATCTCTTGGAACAGAAAAGATTGAAAGGAATTTTCTTAAAAGTGAGATACAGAAAGCACAATTGCAAACAGTACCAACAAAAAGGGGGAGGGGAGAAATTTAAAGAAACCAGAATGGATTTTCAACTAACTTTCAGCTGAGTAACTTAAGACTTAAACATGTACAAGAAATGGGAAGGGGGGGAGCACATTTACCTAAGTTTAAAGAAACCAGAATGGCTGGCCAAAGAACTTTCAGCTGATCTGATCTCCCTAGGGAGAGTGTTCCATAGCCGAGGGGCCACCACTGAGAAGGCCCTGTCTCTCGTCCCCGCCAAATGTGCTTGTGACGAAGGCGGGACCAAGAGCAGGGCCTCCCCAGATGACCTTAAAGTCCTCAGTGGTTCGTAAGGGGAGATACGTTCGGACAGGTAAGTTGGGCCAGAACCGTTTAGGGCTTTATAGGCCAAAGCCAGCACTTTGAATTGGGCCCGGTAGCAAACTGGCAGCCAGTGGAGCTGGCGCAACAATTGTATGCTCCCTGAGTGCCGCTCCTGTTAACAACCTGACTGCCATTCATTGGACTAGTTGAAGCTTCCAGACCATCTTCAAAGGCAACCCCACGTAGAGAGTGTTGCAGTAGTCTATACGGGATGTAACCAGAGTGTGGACTACCGTGGCCAAGTCACACATCCCAAGGTACGGGCACAGCTGGTGCACAAGTTTTTTACTTCATTTATATTCCACTTTTCTCACCCCTGGGGGGGACTCAAAGAGGTTTCTAGCATATTCACGGCAAAATTGAATGTCTTACAAAACATGAAAACCTAACATAAAGCAACAGTAATACTCTAGAAGATAGGATCAGAATTCAAAATGGCCTTAACATGTCAGAGAGCTGGGCCAAAACTAACCAAAATAATTTCAACAAGAATAAACATATGTTAGTACAGTTAAGCAGGAGAAAAATGGAATGCACATGTACAGAATGGGTGACATCTGGCTTGACAACAGTTCATATGAAAGGGATCTTGGAGTGTTAGTAGACCACAAGTTGGACATGAACCAACAGTGTGATGAACCAGCTTAAGAGCCTATGGGATTTTGGGCTGCATGCAAAGGAATATAGTGTCTAGATTAAGGGAAGTCATGGTGATATTCTTTCTACTTTGGTGAGACCTCACCTGAAATCACATTCTGTCCAGTTCTGGGCACCAGAATAAAAGCTGGAACATGTCCAGATTCCATTTCTGATTCTACATATCAGTTAAGCAATGGTTTTGACTGTCACTAAATTGATGTCTCTAGAAACCTTAAACTATGGCATGGAGGCCTTAGCCCTTTCCCTTTCAAACAGCCAACAGGAATTAAAATCTACTTTAAATGTTTTCTTGTAATTAATTTTCTTGAAAGAAATGTGTTCTTTTCCCACCAGGGCCCAATCACCTTTGAGGATGTGGCTGTCCATTTCTCCCCGGAGGAGTGGGCTCTCCTGAGTCCTGATCAGAAAGCCTTGCACGGGCAGATCATGGAGGACATTCATGGGATGGTGGACTCTCTTGGTAAGGCTCCCTCATTCATGGGGTTTCTATTTCAAAATGCAGTATCCCAGTCAGCAGCTGGCTGGTGGGAGCAGTATCATCACAATCTCTGAGAGTTCTCAAAGCAGGGTTTGAATCCAGGGAACGGGGTAAGTTCCTGCTGTTAGCCCCAGCTTCTGCCATCCTAGCAGTTTGAAAATATGCAAATGTGAGTAGATCAATAGGTACCGCTTCCACAGGAAGGTAACGATGTACCATGCAATCATGCCAGCCACTTGACCTTGGAGGTGTCTACGTGTCTTGGGTTGAGAAATTGAGATGAGAGTCGGACATGACTAGACTTAATGTCAGGAGAAACATTTACCTTTACCATAGCTTGGGTACCCAGCAATGCCCAAGTTATTTAAAAAGGGCATATTTTGTTTTGGGATGTTTGGTAATATCAGTTTGGTAATTTGTAATGCTATTTATTAGAAAAATGTCATTCTTTCCTTTTGTTATTTATGAGTGCTCCCATTAGAAAATGCGTAAGCATGTGGGTGAACTACAACTCCCAAAATCGTGGGTCAATCACCCCCAGACCCCACCAGCATTCAAAGTTGGCCACATTAGGTCTGTGTGCCAACTATCGTCCAGATTAGTCATTAGTGGGGTTCAGAGGGCTCTCTGGATAAGGATCAAGTACAGCTCACATATTCCAAGGTCAATCACCCCCAAATCCCTCCGGTATTTACAGTTGACCATGTTGGGTCTGTGCTCTAGGTTTAGTCCAGATCCAACATCAGCTGGGTTCAGTGCTCTCTGGATGCGAGTGAACTACAACTCCCAAAAATCAAGGCCAATTCCCCCCAAACCCCTGCAGTATGAGCAGGATTGAAGAGAAACAACAGGAAAAGCTGACACAATACGAGGATTTAAAGATTGAACTGCAAAGACTGGCACAAGCCAGTCAAGGTGGTCCTAGTGGTGATCGGCACACTGGGTGCAGTACCTAAAGACCTTGGCCTGCACTTAAACACAATCAGTGCTGACAAAATTGCCAGCTGCAGAAGGCCACCTTACTGGGATCTGCACGCATTATTCACCGATACATCACACAGTCCTAGACACTTGGGAAGTGTCTGACGTGTGACAACAACCAGCAGAGTGTCTGCTGTGGACTCATCTTGTTGTGTTACAAATAATAATATATTTAAACCCGCACCTCTCTCCCCTAAGGGACTCGGGATGGCTTTTCCTCTATGTCTATGTTGTTTTAAGGATAATTTCAATCCACTTCTTATCCCACTTCCTTAGACTCCTTATCACTCACACTGAGGAATGATTGTTTCTGTTCTTGTTCTTCACAGCAGATAACTGGAAGAAGAGCAATGTCTGCACCAAACACAGGAAATGTTTTGGGCAGAATGGGGACCTTCATGGACACCAGCAAGCCCACAGTAAAGGTGAAGATTCTGCCAGAGAAAAGCCCCACAAATGCCATATATGTGGGCAATGTTTTACCCAAAATATGGCACTTGTGCTTCACAAGACACTCCATGCTGGGGAAAACCATCTTGAAAGGAAAGTGTCAGCAAAATGTGTGGTTGATTACAAATTGCCAGATGTGTGCCAACAAGAAATTTTTGAAGGAACCGAGGATTTCATAAACCAGGAGTGTGAGAAATATTTTATCCAGAGTTCACACTTGGTGATGCACGAGAGATTTCACTCAGGAGAGGAACCATACATGTGCCAGGAGTGTGGGAAGTGTTTTGCTTCCAGTTCAGAATTGATGAGGCACAAAATGCTTCATACAGGAAAGAAACCATACAAATGCCAGGAACATGGGAAGTCTTTTACTCAGAATACACACCTTATAGAGCACTGGGGATCCCACACAGGAGACAAACCATACAAATGCAAGGAATGTGGGAAATGTTTTGTTCAAAGTTCATCTCTTATGAGCCACCAGAGAGTCCACACTGGAGAGAAACCATATACATGCCCAGATTGTGGGAAATGTTTTACTGACAGTTCAAACTTGGTGAGACACAAAAGATTCCACACAGGAGAGAAACCATACGAATGCCAGGAGTGTGGGAAATGTTTTGCTGATGGTTCACACTTGGCGAGCCACAAAAGACTCCACACAGGAGAGAAGCCATACGAATGCCAGGAGTGTGGGAAATGTTTTACTAACAGTTCAAACTTGGTGAGACACAAAAGAGTCCACACAGGTGATAAACCATACCAATGCCAAGAGTGTGGGAAATGTTTTGCTGACAGTTCGCACTTGGTGAGCCACAAAACACTCCACACTGGAGAGAAGCCATACCATTGCCAGGAATGTGGGAAATGTTTTGCTGACAGTTCACACTTGATGAGGCACAATGCACTCCACACAGGAGAGAAGCCATACCAATGCCAGGAGTGTGGGAAATCTTTTACTAACAGTTCAAATTTGGTGAGACACAAAAGATTCCACACAGGAGAGAAGCCATACCAATGCCAGGAGTGTGGGAAATGTTTTGCTGACAGTTCACACTTGGTGACCCACAAAAAATCACACATGTGAATGAAAGGGTAAATTCCCATACTTCATCCCTTAACAAGCATCAGAGAATACACACAGGCTTAAAAATATGCAAATGCCAGGAGTGTGGGAAATGTTTTGTTTGGGGTTCATACCTTTTGAACTATCACAGAGAGAGACATCATCCAAGAGCTGTGACAGAACTAATAAAATGAGTTATCACGTATCATGATGTGTAACTGACTGGAACTGGTTTTTGCCCAGCTGTACAATATAATTGAGCAAAACTTTTAAATTGCAGGTTCTGGACATTTTGGTGTTATAGACTACATTCAACATTGCTCGGTGAACACGTGTTGTTCCCTTGGCTTTCAGTAACACTTGGCTTGACTTCGGACTCGTTTCTAAGACAATTCTTAGTTTTGAACTTTGCTTATGTTTTTTGCTTTTTGTGACTTGGGACTGTTTTGCAGAACTCTTTTGCTTCTGTGGACACCTTTATCATCTGATTTCAAACAGGACCATTTGAGAAGTTCTGCCTAAGATTTGGTAGAGTCCACTTTCTTGTTGTTGTCAAAGGCCTTCATGACCAGAATCTCTGGGTTGCTGTTAGTTTTCTGGGTTGTATAGCCATGTTTCAGAAATATGGTCCCCTGATGTTTCACCCACATCTATGGCATCCTACAAGGTTGTGAGGTCTGTTGGAAACTCGACAGTTGAGGTTTATATATCTGTGGAATGTCCAGGGTGTGTGTGTCGGGGGGGGGGGGGGGGGGGGGGGGAGGAAGAATGAGAGAAGACACTCTGGTTGCTATGTAATATGTGTGTGAGAAAGCATAGAGAATCTATATAAATAAAATGTAGTGTTTGTTTGTGGGATTAATATAATTCAAGAACCACTGGGCAAATTGACACCAAATTTGGACACAACATACCTAATAGGCCAACGAGTGACCATCACTCATAAAAACAAGGAAAAACACAGCGGAGGAGACTTAAAAAGCAAAAAAAAACCCAATAACAATGTATGCGCAAAACCACATATATACACACACAAATACATATACACAGACTGGGCCACAGCAACGTGTGGCAGGGGACAACTGGTCTATATAAATAAAAATGTAGTGTTAGTTTGTGGGATTAACATAACTCAAAAACCACTGGACAAAATGACACTAAGGTTGGACACAATACACCTCTCAGGCCAACGAGTGACCATCACTCATAAAAACACTGAAAAACACAGCAGAAGAGACTTTAAAAGCCAAAAGAAAATACATTACAACACATGCGCAAAACCACACACACACACACACACACATATATGCAAACACACATATATACACAAATATATACACACACAAAGCACATATACACAGACTAGGCCACAGCAACGCATGGTAGGGACAGCTAGTATAAAATAAAAACCAGAATCTTAAACTCCATGAAACGGAAATATAGAGGATATTGCTAGAAAGCAAGGATTTGTGACAGCAGCAAATGGGAAGCTAATGACACTTCCAGACAGGAGTAAAACCCATGCCAAAGCGGGTTTAAAAACCTGCTTTGGTGTGGGTCTTTGACCCCACAAGAACCCTCAAATCCAGGCTTTCCTGGACAGAGTGTCTAAATGCAAGCCTGGATGGCATCCAGACACCCAGAAGCCCCCCAAAAGAAGCCCTTAAAATTTAAAACAATTTACCTGACCAACATTAAGGTAGTCCTAGAAAATCACTCCTCACCCCTGTCTCGTCTCCTGGAGTGTCATTTCTACATTGGGCCGGAGATTTAGCACAGCTGGTAAATCGCCAGCAACTATAAGATCTATTAACCAAAGGTTGCAAGTTCGAAGCCCCAGGTCAGCATGAGCACCCGACTATCAGCCCTGCTCACTGTTTACCTAAGCAGTTCAAAAACAGCTTTAGCTGTAATTAGATAAATTAGGTACTGTTAAAAAAGCGGGGCAGGTGTTTTATGACACCATAAAGAAGATCAGAAAATGCTGGTCAACCAAATGGAAGGAAGAAATCCTGACAGCTCCTCATCATAGAGGATGAAGCAACAGCACCCCCTGTGGCTGGATTCGAGCCCAACCTTCCACATCACCAAAACAGCTGGACACTGAGTCAAAACCACACACCTCCTTCTGTTTTGTCTGTCTGTGTATTGTTTATACAAAGCGGCATTGAATGTTTGCCGTGATCTGCCCTGAATCTCCTTCGGGGTGAGAAGGGCAGAATATAAATAAAGTGTTATTATTATGTCCAGGGTGGGAGAAAGAACTCTTGTCTATTGGAGGCAAGTGTGAATGTTGCATTTGGCCACCTTGACTAGCATTGAATGGCCTTATAGCTTCAAAGCCTGGCTGCTTTCTGCCTGGGGGACTCCTTTGTTGGGAGGTGTTAGTTGGTCCTGTTTGATTCCTATCTGGAATTGCCCACGGATTTGGGTCCACACACGGATCGGGACACATGAGGATCGCAAGGGGCTCCTACCTCCCTCTGGTTTCTCATGGGGAAGAAACATGAAATATTAGAAAAGGACAGATGAACATCCACATGGTGGTCCCAGGAAGGTGAGGAAATCTAAAATATATTGCTTACTTGGCTTTTTCCCCTTTGCTAACATTTAGCCTAGATATGTACATCTTTCTCAGCCCAGCTCTAGACCAAGGCATTGGAGTCCTTTTGTTTGTGAGGCATTGACTGGGGTAGGAAACAATTAGCAGAGTTCTCGGGGGGGGGGGGGGGCTCACGCTTAACTACATCTAGTTTTCAACAGACCTCGCAATCAATAAGGATCCTGCCATAGATGTGGGTGAAACGTCAGGAGAGTATGCTTCTGGAACATGGTTGTACAGCCTGGAAAACTCACAGCAACCCACTATCTTGTTATTTGGATCCCTAAGTTGAAGTCCTCTTCTCTGGAGCAGCAGAAAGCAAGCTCCATGTGACAATAATTCATTCCTTGTGAGCCACCGGAGAGTTCACACAGGAGAAAAACTATACAGATGAACAGATTGTTTTGTTTTGCCTTGTTTGGTCTGGGAACTGTTTTGGAGAATGCTTGTTTCTCTGGACATGGGCATCGCCATGGTAGTTGGCTGGCTTTTCCCTGGTCCGCTTTTGTGGGTAAACATCTGATTTCAAACAGGACGCTTTGAGAAGTTCTACCTTACATTTGGTAGAGTCCCCTTTCTTATCACTTGAATACATACCGTATATTCCGGCATATAAGACGACTGGGCGTATAAGACGACCCCCAACTTTTCCAGTTAAAATATAGAGTTAAGACAACTCCCATGCATAAGACTACACCCGCGTATAAGACGACCCCTGACTTTTGAGAAGATTTTCTTGGGTTAAAAAGTAGTCTTATACGCCAGAATATACTGTAAGTTGAGGTCCTGATGTCTGGAGCAGCAGAAAGCAAGCTCCATGTGACAATCCTTCAGAGGGTTAAATACAATTGTCATGTCACTTATTTTAAAAAGAAACCATGTGTACTGCCATCACTTGTTCCTCTGGGCTTCGTTTCCAGCTCCTTTACCACCTTGGTTACAAATTTCCAGTTTGTGAGTGTTGTCTTTCAGCCAGGATTCCAGAATTGAACTCAGTGCTTCTGTTGAGGCCAAGGCAAAGGAAAAGATGCTTGCACTAATATTTCCCTTGATGTGCAAATTGTATCTCTGGCTAGCATTTACTGTCGCTTTCCCTGCTCCTGGAATACACACTTTTGATCCACATTAAATTGAAAATCACAGAATCATAGAATCAGAGTTGGAAGAGACCTCATGGGCCATCCAGTCCAACCCCATTCTGCCAAGAAGCAGGAATATCGCATTCAAATCACCCCTGACAGATGGCCATCCAGCCTCTGTTTAAAAGCTTCCAAAGAAGGAGCCTCCACCACACTCCGGGGCAGAGAGTTCCACTGCTGAACGGCTCTCACAGTCAGGAAGTTCTTCCTCATGTTCAGATGGAATCTCCTCTTTAGTAGTTTGAAGCCATTGTTTCATGTCCTAGTCCCAGGGAAGCAGAAAACAAGCTTGCTCCCTCCTCCCTGTGGCTTCCTCTCACATATTTATACATGGCTATCATATCTCCTCTCAGCCTTCTCTTCTTCAGGGTAAACGTGCCCAGCTCTTTAAGCCGCTCCTCATAGGGCTTGTTCTCCAGACCTTTTATCATTTTAGTCGCCCTCCTCTGGACACATTCCAGATTGTCAATATCTCTCTTGAATATCTCTCTTGATTGTCAATATCTCTCTCCTTTTGCATATCCCTCTCACCCCCGGAGGGGGACTCAGTGTGGCTTCACAAGAGACATTAATTCAATGTCAATAATAATAAAAGCAATTAAAACAATTTGTTAATGCTTTACCATTACAAAAACATTCTTTAAATCTCGTGAGTCTTGTTATTTTACAATTAACAATGTTATCTATCATTGATTTTATTATAGACTATGCAAATTTGATCTATTTTGCAAAGTTTTAAGTCCTTGGATCTTATACATGAAGGAAATAAATTTTCCCACAACAGTGATGGGCAAACTTTGGCCATCCAAATAAGGATTTTTTTCCTTCCATGACTCAATCTCTGCCATCACTTTCAGTCCTTTGGTTCCAGGGCTTTGGAGAGATGCTCTTTCCCCCTCCTTCCAGTGTCACTCTGGGCAAGGAAGGGTTAAGGGAAGGGAGTTGGGTTCCCAGAGAGGCAAGAAGGAAGTGGACCTCCTTAGACTTGCCTTTCCTGTCCCTCTAGGAACCCAACTCCCTCCCCTTAACCTTTCCTTCCCTGGCTGGGAGAGGGGAGTTTCCCCCTTGGTCTCTCCTTCCTCCTCCTCCTCCTCCTCCTCCTCCCTCTCCCTCTCCTTCAGGTGAGTCTTCTTCCCAGACCTTCTCCAAAGGGCCAAAGAGGGGCTGCAGCCCAAAATACCTGAAGGGTGGGCTGAAGTTGGACCAGGCCTGGACTAACATGGGATTGGGGGTCATCAGATTCTCCAATGGAGAATCCTTAGGAGGAGAGAGAGGCCCATGGCTTTCCCCTACCAACCCACTCACCTGCTTGCCTGGGTCCTCTTTTCCCCCCTTGAGTTTGTATTACACATTTCAAAGGAAAAGATGTTTCCCACACAAAAAAGGAGAACAACGAAGGGGAAAAGGGTCGCAGAGCTGTAATTAGTAGATTAGAAGTACATAAATGCCTACTGTGTCACCAAGGAAGACGAAGGGAACGGAGGGGGGAATAGAAGCATTGGATGTGTTATAGTTATTACATCCCAATGTCCAATTAAGGCTATGGATGATGTCTCATCAGCTGAAGGAATCACGGGAGGATTCAGTGTGGGTTGGGACTGAATGGGAGCTCAATGGGAGGCCAGGTGGGTCTGGAGGCTGGAGAAGCAGAGGCCCAAGTGGAAGCAGAGCCCAGCATTACGCGACTCTGAAATAAATTAAGGGCTTGTTATTTCACTCTCCAAGAAAAAGCCTCCCAAAGCCTGTTGTCTAATTCTGCCTTTCTTTCACAGGGGAAATGTGGTTGTTGGCTGAGCATTTTGGAGTAGAGCCTGTTCAGGGATTTCTTTCCATTGAGAGATAAAAGTAGGAAGAGCATATTGGATCCAATTTGCTTCTTCATGAAACTAGTTCCAACGCCTCTCTTGGACCTGAAACACGCAAGGCCCCCAGGAGCAGTGCGGAACCCTGGGAAAGAACTATGCAGACGTCCCTGAATGCGTACATACAGCACCAGCGCTTCAGGCATTCCTCCTTCCGAGAGGGCAAGGGACCCAGAGAGGTTTGCAGCCGCCTCCACTCTCTCTGCCGCCAGTGGCTGAAGCCAGAGCAACACACCAAGGCGGAGATGCTGGACCTGGTGATCCTGGAGCAGTTCCTGAGCATCCTGCCCCCAGAGATGGGGAGCTGGGTCCGAGAGTGTGGGGCAGAGACCTCTTCCCAGGCGGTGGCCCTGGCGGAAGGCTTCCTCCTGAGTCGGGAAGAGGACAAGAAGTGGGAAGGACAGGTGAGAGCACCTCCTCTTGGCTTCACTCACCTTGGGACTGATGGGTAGATTAAACATACATCCTGCCTTCCTTCCAATATGGGACCTGTGACAGAGATAAGTCAAACTCTGCTCCCTCGGCCTCTTTTCCCACCTGCTCTGCCCCTCCTGCTCTCACCTCCATATCCAGTGTAAGCTCAGTTGCTGCTCTACTCAATTTGTTGATCTCCACATCCTTCCTTCCAAGATGGGAGTG